TCACATGAACTTCTGAAATCTCAAGATTCTTTCCATTAAAATCCTTTTTTTTTGTTTTGTCTTACTTGACTTCTTTTTGTTTGTAATAATCTTATTTTGTCCTTTCTTATGTTTTAGAGTTTTCTTAATGTCTCTCTATAAGGGGAAAATTTATCAATTATAAAAGACATAAAAATAGCTTTATCTATGTTAAATTTATTTTGCCTAAATCTATTAAGCATGCATTCAAGCTCATGAAATTGATTCATAACAAAATGATCATCTATGGATACGACGACTTACTTCTTTTCAACCAATATAAGTTTACTATGCATATCACACGCAATATCATTCATATCAAGTAAGGAAAGAAAACTTATCTCATAATTCGATGTAGAACCATTTTGCCACAAATGAATCTCATCCATGGATTCATCTTTAAAGCATTCTAACTTAACAATGTTGGTAGTCATATCATTTAGTGAAGTCATTTTGAATTCCAATTCCATGGAAAATAAGTCTTAAAATTGTTAGTGTAAATGAGGTTTAGATGGAATTTAAGAAATCAATAAAATTGACTTCAAGGTGAGCTTTTTAATAGACATTATCTTTAAGACTTATTTTGTTTCCACCATTTGGTATGCAAAGAGGAATTATGAGAATAGCGTTAGGGATATAAGGAAGCCAACATCTAACTTTGTTTTGCACTTAACAGGAGTGAACCGCTAGATACACCAAAGGGTTTGCAAAGTTGTTCAGCCTTATAGCCTACTTTTTGCAATAAGTAGATTATAAAGAATCTGGACTCTTTTGGTAGTAAATGAAAACTTAAGCGTTTATGTTAATTTTCAAAACATAATATTTCTATTGCTATTGATTTTTCTGCTAATGGTTGGCGGTAAGTTTTTTATATAGGTTGCAAGTGTCTTTTCTCAAAGACATAACCCTTTCATCAAAGCACCTCTTTGTCTTAAAGATACCTTTGCATTTTGCAAGACACAATCCTTAGATAAAGGTATTGTTTCATATAATCACTTTATAAAGGACAACCATTTATTCCATAAAATATAACCTTTGAGCTACAATATAAAAAAATAACTTTTCATATCCCAACTTTTGAGTTGTAGTATTTTTCAATTGTTCCATAATGCTAGTGTAATAAGCTCAAGGTGGGTGATTGGAATATTTTAAATATCTAGAAAATTTTCTTTTCAATTTCTAAAAAATGAGGTTCTTTCAAGTCAAATCTCTTTTTTTGTGAATAAACAAGATAATTGATTTCTTATCTAATAAAAGATGTTAGAAACACAAACAAGATTGAACGAGTGAGAGAAAAAAATCAACACAATGGTTTTTATAAAAGTTTGACCTCCTTACTTACATCTTCTCCTTTAGATTTGCTAAAATATTTTGAAAAATTTCTTTTCAATTCAAGAGAATGAGGTTTCTTCAAGTCAAATCCTTTTTTTGTAAATGAACAAAGATAATTGAATTCTTATCTAATAAAAGAAGTTAGAAACACAAACAAGATAGAATGAGTGAGAGACAGAAATCAACATAATGGTTTTTATAAAGGTTCAGCCTCCTTACCTATGTCTTCTCCCTTAAATTACTAAGGAGTTTAAAATCCACAATTTAGAAAAAAGATTCAATACAATGCCTTTTGTAGATCAAGTATAACCTTTCAATGAAATGCCTATTTATGATTAAAACACAACCATGCTACCTTTTATCTAAGTTAAACCCTAAAACCTAAATTTAACACATAACCTTTGAATTTAGAAGTCTTTTTTTAATATGTCACTTTTTCAATAGACATAACTATTTACATGAAAAACTTACTTACAATTTAATAATTACACTATGTGACATGACCTTTTATTTTAAAAATGCATCAACAATATATATATGTATTTAAAAAAATCATGATTTGTTCATTTTATTTTTCTTTGTTTTAATTAATTTTCATCCATTTTTCTATTCAATTTAAGGCCATTAACATTTTAATCATAAATGAATTTTATTGTGCATTAATCATTGTGAGATGAAATACTGGACATTTCTACCTTTTTGTAGCGAAGAAGAGAGGGTTTAATCTCGAACTTTATGTTTTAGAGTGAAAACTAAGGAGTTGTCCCAAATAATGTGGTAGATAGAAAAGCATTGAAGGTTCAAGCTTATTTATACTATATACGAAAGGAAGCGCCAATGGGGTTTCCACATTTGGCCACGTGGAGGCTTTATGAGACTTCCAATAGGACTCCCAAATTTTGCCACATGGACCCTTAGGAGGGGAGTTGTGATATGTTCGGCGGGTGCGCCACAACTTGAAGGGTATAAGCTGGGTGGGTTGTGTGCAACATGCGAGTTCAGCTCTAGTGTGATTAATTGAAAGCCTTGTATTGACTTCATTTTCATTTTTCTTCTAAAAAAGTGGTTGAGTCTCAATTTGATAATCTCAATCTCTTTTTTTTTTTCTTTTTTAAAGATTGCCACCTGTCCATGGAGGATAAGATACTCAATCTCGTTAAAGAATATAACCTTTAGTGGAATAATCAGATTTATATTATCTAATTCGGAGACATTATCCTATTCCATAATAAACATTTTAACACAGCTATTTTTCTAAAACCTTAGAAGAATAATTTCAAAGATGATAAGGTTTCATTTGGTTAGAGTAAAAGACAATTTTGTATATAATATAAAAGTATACTGTTATAAAAATGAATGATATATAGATATATATATATAACTAATCCTATTCATAGTTTAACGATCTATTTAAGTATTGTAGTTTAACTAGGTAATAATATTATATTCTTATTCTAATTAAATAATTTATATAATTATTTTAATATTATAAATTATCTTAATATTGTTTGAAACTTGGATAGTGAAAATATGAGGTGAGATAACACGAGAATCAAGTAAAATCTAAAAAAATCTATTCAAAATACTTTAAAAGGATACTTTGGTCCTTTTTTTTAAAAATGACATTTTTGGTCTTCAACTGTTAGTCAATCATTAAAAAAAATTAGACCAAATAATATATAAATATTTTAAGATATAAATACCTTATATATATTTTTAAAAATTTAAACATATTTTCTTTTTAAAAAGATTTGCTCATTGTTCCCTTCAAAACCTTAATAATTTTTTTTTTATTTGAAGACTTGGAAATTTGAAGTTGTATCTACCTTAAAAACCATAAACTTCTTTCTTGACATAAAATCTATTTTCATCAAACACTTTATTTTTCCAACAATTTAAGAACTTCTTTTCATTGAAAAGAATGTACTAAAAAGTAAATATTTTGTTTAATAATGGATATTTCAAATTTGATAGTGTTGGGTTAAGAGATTAATTTTTACTCGTTTACTAATTTTGTTGAAAAATTTTTACCCAAAATTTGTTCTTTGAGACTAGGTTTAGGGTGACATAATTTTAACTTGATTAGTATATATAAAAAGTTTTAAGTTTTTTTTTCTCTTCTCTGACAAATATTGAATTTATTAAGTATCAAAATGAGATAGGCAAGGATTCAATAAAGAAAAATCGTAAATTATTGAATCGTATATTGAAATAAGTTGTTTTATTGAGACACTTATACGATTCAATAAAACAAAATAAACAATCTCATATCGATTGTATACTAAAATTATTTAAGTGTTCACATTATCTATAATTTATGAAATTTTTTTTTGAAACAAAATCGTGAGACTCAATGAATTAAATGGTATAAACCCTAACATGAAACTTGTTAATCACTTGCCTTCATGGAAATTACCTTGTATGAAATGGACAGTTTGAGGTCCTATCTTGCTTTCGCATCATTTAACATATCTTTTCGAGGGAGATAGAAATTTGTGTAAATAATACAAACTTGAACGAAAAAGAGTTAATGTGGACTTATTCTTTTTGGAGTTTTTTAACATTTTCTGTTGTTCAAGCCCCATAAAATTCTCATACACCAAATACTTTACAACTAGAAAAAATTATAAAGAATAACCTTTCTTAATAAGGATATTTAAGAAATAACCATCAAAATAAATTTAACTATTTTTAACCATATTTAATCATGACTTGATAAAAATACCATTGATATTATTTCAAATAAATTAAACCATTAATCACAATTTTTTTCTATTTGTGTTTCCGATTTCTCTCTCTCACCACTATTCCACTCTCCAATTTTATCAATTTCTCTCTTCGACATTCATCTGCTATGCACTCGATTTTTCTCTTTCGTATTTTCAGATTTCTCTTTCTAGCGCTTTCAAGACACCAAGCAATAATTTTGATGTGTTTGGATGGATAGCTATTTGAAAATTTTAATTTTTAGACATTTTGAATAACACTAAAATGATAAAAATGATCATAAATGTTTGAAATAGCTTTTAATTGGATCAATTCAAGACCTACATACCAATAGACTCAAAAATTTAAAATTTATAAACCTAAGTTTTTAAAGAATTTTTTTTTTATTTTTACTTGAAATAGGTGTTTTAAATAAAAAAAATTTATGTTTTGATTTATGAAAATATGTTAGAAACATCTTAATAAGTGTCAAATTGTCAAAAAAACAAAAAGAGTTAAGAAGATTTGAAGTTTTAGCTTGTAAGTAACAACATTTTACGCATTAAAGTGTAACAAAATATTTTTTAATATGATATGTAACAATAATATTTTTTCAACATGACATGTAACAACAATATTTATTTTTTTTCAACCTGACGTATAACAATCTAAGCATGCCATGTCACGAACTAACCATAACGTGTCACATGTTTTTGTACATAACGTGTAACATGTTTTTGTACATAACGTGTAACATCATAACGTGTAATTTCATTAAAGGTAATTTTGTCCAACTTGATTAAAAATAATTAAAATTATAAAGAATGTTATTTTTAAAAACATATTATCTATAAAGGTTATTTTTAAAAATGCCCTTTACGACTATGTCTATAAAACATACCAAACATGTCTCAAAGCAGTATGAACAGTCTATAGTCTTTCTCAAACACGTGCAAATTAGTGAAACTATTACTCAAATAAAATACAATGAGTGAAAAAGAAAGGTTGGCCCAAGTTATCGTTCAAGGTCTACAATGATATTTTAGTATCACGGGTGATAACCAACCAACATGATGATGAATAAACACTTTCAATACGAGCCTCATCTATAACTCAAATTCATAAATTATTAATACAGTCTTATGATTCAATCCTAAGCCCTTGCTACTGCTGATGCCTTTAAGCTTCTTAGCTGCAAAAGATGACAAATTCAGCTTAGCCAATATCTTCACATTCAGCACCAGCACCAATCAAAACAAAAGATATCCTCCCATTTCACTCTCACCAGTTTGATCATACATGCACAAATATGAAGTAATCTTCCAAATGAAAGAAAGTCACAGGCATAAATTTGGCATACTAGTGAAAAATTAATTGCATTCAGATCATGGTAATGGAGGTACAGAAATATTCACATAAAACGATCTTACTTAAAAGGAAGATAGCTTATTGTATAAAAACAAACAAATCAGTATTGAGTATCTATTAAGATACGACACTAACTACCTTATTTGTTCTTCAAGAAGCCAGCTTTAAGTGTCCGCTACTTCAACATACTCTACGTGCATCATGCCCAACCAACTACAATAACAAATACTAAAACAACCTATGAGCTTTAGTAGCCAATGTCCTTCACAGGATTGTTTGACCACAATATTTTGATGCAAACTTCTATCAGCTCTTGCTTTCTAGTGCTAAGCAGGCCTCAGGGCTGCTAGATTGATCTGAAATGACTGTGAACCACTTTTATCATTGTGCAAATGAATTATTAGGATAATATGCTTTGTATATAACATAAGATTGTACCTAATTCTCACTGCCAGTGTCTTTGACATGTATGTATCTTTATCAAAGCAATCAGTTTTTGGTTATTGGATCAGGAGGTCCCCTGGCTATAGGTGAACCACCCAAATTAGATATGGGTTTCGCATAGTCAACAAAAATAACACGTCCATTCAGTGCCTGTCAATAATCACTTTGTTATTTCTGAAATCATTAAGATACCATAATAAAAAAGGAAGGGAAAAGAATGCTGTACCTTTCCGTCCATCCGAGTTATTGCTTTCTCAGCTTCATCTTCAGATGCATAAGTAACAAATCCAAAACCTTTTGATTTACCCGAAACTCTATCGGTTACAATTTTGGCTGGCAAAAGTAACAATGTCGGTATACTTTTAAGCGAACAAAGTCTTAAAAGCCTAAGACTATTGCTCAATATTATCACATAAATAGATCCAATCACCTACTGACCTTCCATAACTTGACCATACTGGGAAAATGCATCTAATAATCCTTTCTCTGTGGTGAAAAATGACAGACCTGTTTACAAAGGGAGTGTAATGAGCAAGAGAGTAGTACTATGAAATTAAGCAACCATTTTTTATTCAGTGTTGTAACTGTCACTATTGGATGATAAATATACCAAAGTAATCAGATGTTATAAACAGATGTATTACTTGGGTTTGTTGATTTCCAAGTAATTTCAGCCTAAACATGCTTTCATTTTCAATTACTATGAATCTATCATTGAAATATAACTTTGATTTGGGATTTCTATATAAAGGATAAGCTGCAGATTCTGTGGCAGAAAATATTAAACTAACAGATAGTAAAAAAGATTGAAATCAGTCAATAGGAAAATAAAAAAGTGGATGAAAATGAAAGAAAAAGAGTACCTCCAACGAAGAGCTTCGAGGCGATACCTCTACGGCAAATAAGAAGGGTAGGAGGAATAAGGGAAGAGTGTTTTGGGTTTCCGGTAATAAGTCTTCTGAGTGCCGCCATGTCTACTGCAAAGTGACAGAGAGCTAGGTAGGTAAGGAACAAGCCTAGTCCCAGCCCCAGTGTGTTGCCTGTTGCCAGTTGCCACAGAACAATACTATGTGATTGGGCGGGCTCAAACTAAATGAGGCAGGCCGCTATCTCCATGGGCCTGTTAAAAGTCCCTTGCCTAAATACCATTTACGCTCAAAAATCTGCATGCATCACTGCGCTGAAGATAGTTTAAACTAGTTTGAAGTTTGAATTTGATTTTGCTTCCTACTTCAGTTCCGAAGTTGTAGTCCTTTTATACCAATATTGACAAGTTTAGTCCCTAAATTTTTATTAAAAAATCCATTTACGAATAATTGATAATAGTGTTAGTACTTTTATCTTAGCTTAGATAATATAGTATTTTCGTGTACCTTATATGTTGAGGTGGATTACTAGACTACCTAAAGGGTAAGAGTGTAAACTATTTTAATTAAATAACAGTAAAGCATTTTAGAGATTCTAAGTTTTCTAAATATTTTTATTAAAAATACAATTATTTCTTATTAATGTTTAATAGTGTTATCAATTACCTGTAAATCGATTTCTAATAAAAATATAAGAATCACGTTTATTAATATCAATTATCTTTAAATGGATTTTAATAAAGGGATGAGGATTTAGTTTATTAAGATCTGGATTGTGAGATTAATAGTACAAAATTGAGATTGTGAAGGGAATAAATTTAGATTTGGATATTTTTTATACTAGGATTCAATTTCTAGAATATAAATTCACTCAACAATGGTGTTAAATAATTCCAAATCCAAAGACAAAGACAGAAGACAGGGATTGTGTAAACCCTTTCACTATTGATTGTACATTTCATACCTGAATCAATTATAGTGAAACAATCTTTAGTACTTGGAAGTTTGAAAATTCATTATTAACTACAACTAAACTTTGATTAAGCAATCTTTAGACAAAAATGGTGCTCCTGCTAGCCTAGTCTACATTTCTCAAGTGGCTAAATATAACTTTGAAGTCACATTAGCGAAGTCTTGGACAAATGCTTGCAGAGTCCTAAATATTCCCAGGAACTTACATCATACATCATAAACATTTAAGCCGAATTAAAGAAAAGAACTGCTTTTCCTACCATTACACTCCACCAAACAAACGAAACAACCATGTTACACCAAGCTTCCAATGCTTCCAAGAGACGGAAAGAGCTGACACTGACACGAGCAACTTCTCCTATAAATTGACCGGACAGAGTGGTCTTACTATAAACAGAATCAATTTTACAATCATTGAGGAATCCAAGAAATCTGGCAAGGGGAATTCCATTACTGCTTTAAGTCTGAATGCCATTTTAATCCTCAAACTCTGTTTCAATGTCCGTTCCACACCTCAGACTTTTACTTTGTTCAATTAGGCATTCAATCTTCTGTGACTGATTCGATCAACTGAAAGCAGAGCAGATTAGAGTCCACAAAGACACATGCTATCAAGCTGCCTGAAAACCCTGAACCAAGACTAATGCGGTAATTGTTCACCTTATCCTCCACTCAATACATCTGCTGCAACGTTTGATGCGGACGGAACTATGGTGGCTTGTTTGTGGGAGGAAATGAAGGTGCGAGTTTAGGTTTATTTCTATGTGACCTACAGCCTTTTTGCCACATCAGCAACTCAAAGTATGTTTTCACACCTTGTGCTCCTTTAACAATCAGGGCAGATCGAATCATGTGTCAGAGTTGAGATACCTGACTGAAGAAAATAAAAGTATATGGTGCACATGGAACATTGAAATGAAGTTTAGAGGATCAACTTTAGATGCTCAAGAATGATGCACCTTTTGCAATGCCTGGTAGAACAGGTCAATGAATTGATCATCCTGGCATAAGAACAGAAAAAAGTGTCAATCAATACCTAGAAGCCTTCATCATAAGGAGGCTTCAAATTATGAATAAATGTATGCCACCAGGACTTTATCAGTGGCCTCCCAAGCATACCACATCCAGTTCAGTCTTCAGAATGCTAGGAAGACTTTTCATCATTACCATTCCACAGGTGCAAAGATGTTCACATTTGGACAATACTAATTGCATCTCTCGTTTTCAGGGGCCTTTGCATTTTATACTCATAGTATGAAGAATAATAAGCCTTTTTCTTATCTACCTTTTTTTCTTTTTTTTGTATCTATCTTTTCGCTGAATGCTAATTAATGATATATATTCAAGCCATATTTGCCACTATTAATTAACATTATAAGTTATAAAGCACGAACCAAGAGGCAAAAAGTCATAAAAATACCTGAACAAGCATTAGTAGTGCATCACGAACTTTATCCCTGCTAATAAGAGGTCCATCATGCAAAGTAGGTGGCACACCAGGAGTCAGAGACGCAGGTGGAGTAGGTGGTGGAAAAGGTTGAAGCATTGGAGTGCCATAAGGACGTTGCAGATTGAGGGGTGGATGAAGAGCAGAGGCAGTTGGCATGGATGATGAGAGAGGCGGCATCATCAATGATGACGACGATGAAGAAGGGGGTGGTGCAAAAAATGCAGAAGGCTTAACAAGATTGGTTACCCGGTTGCTGCTACTTAATGAATCAAGCGAAGGTGGAGCAGAAAGAGTAAGGGACGAAACTGTCGGAGCAGGTGCAGGAGTGGAGATGGCAGGTGGTGCATGAGAAGACAGAGGGGTGGTTGAGATAGAATGGTAAGGCTGTATTGAATTTGCACCATTTGGAACATTAGTTCCAAGATTCATAGCAGCCTGAAATTAGTGAACAAAATAATTTGAGATCAGAGACATTGGATAAATATTAGGTCTTGAAAAGCCCAAAGATGAGTGTCAGCAGTGAACATACACTAAAGAAGTTGACAAATGATGAATCTTCAGGAGCATCAGTGGCAGGAGAGGCAGTTGCTGGTGGCTCCAAGGGGCCTTCTATCACAGACATGCTAGGAACTGCTTCTAGCTCCTCAAATTCACTGCATTACAATAACACATTAGCTTAGAAAACTTTGCATCATAAGAAGAACAGAAATTAAGCATGTGACTACCAGCATATACCACCAGGAGGCAGGAGAAGCAAGATGCTCTAAAACAAGGATACTGGATTTCCAAGGATCAACCTTAAAATCATTACATTCCATGATTGTCATTATATTACACCAAGTAGATGCTTGTTTTTTGGCTAAATATGAAATTCCAAATTTACCCATGTGCCTTAGCATGTCTTGCAGGTATTATCCATAAATTACATTATGGATGCACCTCATAGCCTATAGATATGGCAGTTAAAGCTCATTCTTATAACCATAAACTTTTCACAAGAAGCTCTTTTCTCAATCACCCACTTACAATTCCAATACTTAATTCCACCACCTACCTGTCCCCCATTCTCCACTTTCTACCTTCTATTTCCTTCACATGGCACAACACTTGATACCACACAGTTCACTGTAGTCCTCCTCAGTAACACCTTTACCTCAATCCTTCAATTGTTTGCAATGATACCACACCTCACACCAGAAGGATCCTCCACACGTCCAACACAGACAATTGACAAGACATTGTTTCACTCAAAAGAACATATGGTACCAAAAGCACTAATTATGAAACTTATATCAAATATGGACACCTCACAAGCTGCAGTGGCCAATTCAACAGGTAACCATGTTCTACGGTTTCAAAAAAAGCAATAACTTCCTTATAAATGAGTTATAGAAGTGATTACCTTTTGCTTGAAGATACTTTTGGCTTTGCAGGAACTTTTGAATATGCATTAAGTATTCTGCGAAAAAGAAAACAAATACAATGTTACAATTCAAACTACCAATGCAAGAGACCAAGAACTTCTCTTATTGATATCAAAACTCAAAAAACACATTAATACAAATTGCATTTGGGTGCTTTTAAAGTATTTTCTTAAATTAGGGGAATTTAAAGATTGCCATAAGTGCAAGGGATTTTTTTTAGAAATTATGATGAATTGCCAAATTACATATTGTGGGGCTAAGAGCACATACATCATCTGTTTGCAATATTAGAGTGCATTGACCCCACTTATCTAGAATCTTGTTACCACATTTGTTAGTAGTGAAAAATTCAATCAACTAGGAGAGTGTTGTAAAACTAAAACCACAAAGGAATGCCTCAAGTATTCAACCCTTCATTTAGGGGAAAAACAATAATAAGTGATAAATAACGCATAATATTAAGATATCAAAGATCTAAACCTCCATGTTTGAATTCACTTGGGATAACTATGCTCAAATTCAATTAAAAGTCAGCCGAATGGATAAAAATAAAAAAGATGCTATACCTGCTAAAGAGATTTGCGACATCCTCACATTCACGGGGATTGTAAAACCAAATGCCATTAACTTCTTGTGCTGCATTGCGATACAACAAGTATGGAACTTGAACCTCGTACTCAAAATCTCCCAGTAGATTCTCCACCAAATTATCTATTTGTTAAAAGCAGCTTTAATATCAAATCAAGCAAAGAAAAAAAACAGTCCACGTTCTTTCATTAAGATTAAGGATTTTGACCTGTGTTACGCCGATTCATTACAATGAACTGGAACCGAGGTTGCGTATTCCTTAAAAAACGACAACAAAATCAGAAATCATTAATATAAGCTAAACAATATCCCAAGTTAATTGCATGCTTCAAACAAAGTTAATGCTAAGAAAAATGCTCACAAATATTATATTGTTTTACCTCTTAACAACAAAGAGAGATCCTTCAACATCTTTTCGACTCTAAATTTCAAAATTAAAATATATCAAAAACAAAAAAGAGAAAGGATCTAAAACTCAGAAGTTAAGAACTTGGTAATTTAAGCAATCCAAATTCTAAACCAAAAATTAAAAAAAAAAATTAAGATTCCAAAAACTTAAAAGAGATTTGTGAGAAAGCGAACCCATTGATTACTATCGATGTTGAATTCGTAGAAGGTGACGTGAGCGGCAGTAATCAAAATCTCTTCGATGAAGGGATCGATTCGTTGGAGAACAGTGAGATTGAGCATCTTCGTGCTCTGTTGATCAAGATTCGGCATCAACTTTCCAGTCTGAGACATTCTCCGATTCGGAAATTTGAAACCCTAAACCCTAATTTCGATTTTCTTGATGATTTTCCCGGGAAAATTATTTTCTATTGTTTTGTAGAAAGGTTTTTTCTTTTGTTAGTGTTGTAACTTGACGATGATAGGAGTTGAACACTCGTCGTTCAATTCTTTAGAAATTCGGCAGTTGGCAGTGTACTTTTCTGATTCCTAAATGACCTAAATAGCCTTTCATCCTCTAAAATTTTACACTGATTGAGGAAAAATAAATCTTTTTAATTCCTAAATCAAAATTAAATTTTTAATTCAATCAGATAAATTCATATGAAACTAGTACTACTTTTATTATTTTTTTCGTACTTGCTTTTATTAAATGTACAACATTATCATATTATTTTATCTTAATCTTAATTATTTTAATTAAAATCTTATTATCTCCAAGTTATTTTAAGAAAATAAACTCTAATGATTATTTTGAACTAAATTTTTTTCATATGTTTAGAGAAAAGGGATTCGAATCTTATTTTTTTTGAAAATGAGGTTATGTATTAATCAGGGATTCAAACCCACTCCTTTTAAAAGAGAAATTATATACTAACTAATAAACTAAATACTCGAGTGCTTAATTAAAGTTTACAAACTATTAAATTTTACTCAAATTTAGTTATCAAGATTTGCCATTTTGTTAAACTAACAGTAATTACTTTTACTCAAATTTCTTCATTTTAGGAGTTTTCAATTTTTTAAAGATTGAATCAATTAGTTTAATAGAAAAAGATTTTTTCATAAATTGTTTTTTGAAGTAATGCAAGTGGTGTTCAATGTTCTACTCATGCAAGTGTATGTATCGTAAAGATAATATACAAATGAGTAGAGTGTTGATCCCACAGAAAATTGAATTAATCTTTATTGTTAACTATTAAAATTAACACACTCTAATTTTATCTAAATAATTAAAATTGAAAAGAAGATTTGAAATTATTAAATTAATAACTAAAACTGAAACTAATCTAAAATCTATTATCAAATTTACTTTATTAACTTCTAGTGATTAGCATACCTAAAATTATAATATCTCTTAATTCTTTATCTGAATATGGTTTCTCTTTCTTAACTTAGTTCAATGGATTAAGTTGCTAACCTAGAGTCTTAAATTATTTACAAGTCTATGTTGAGTTTCTTACAAAAATATCTCTCCCAATTAATTTACTATATGTCTATGTAAATTATATTGAACAGAGATTCATTAAGTTTGTACTCTAATTTTAGTTACGTATAGCTTATAGGTGTATGTTTACCCTATATACAAATCAAACCACCTAATCAACTAAGTGTATTCGATCATACGTTATTTTATTTAAAGTCTACTTAAATCTCCTTCGTTAAGGTTTAACCTAGGTTTCCAATTCAATCTAATTGGTGATCAGGCAATTAGAAGCATTAAGAACAAAATAAAATAAACAACTTAAATCTATTAAACATAAGTAAAAGAGAGATAAATAATTCAAACTACATATTGAGTCCAATTATAATCTTAGATTAAAAATTCAATTCTCCATCAAGTCACACATCATCATTGAATAAAGTTTAAACATTCAAATCAAACTAAGAAAAATAAGAAAATAACAAAAAAATAAAAAAAACTCAAGAATTGTATTCTTGATCTCCAAATCTCCTTGAATCCTTCAAATTCCTTTTAGCTTCAATCCCTTTATGGCTTGACTCTCAATTGCCAATTTGGTGTTTTTTCGTTCTCTCCTTTTCCTACAAGTTGTTTTTATATGTTTTGAAGTTATGCCAAGTTGAGTGGAGAAAGAAATCAATTTCAGCTAGAGTTTTCTCATCAGACTATATGAATTGTAGCTTTTCCCAATTAATTAATAGAAATCGTAATTATTCTAAGACTGTAATAGTGCATCAACTTTGACAAGATTTTTCACCATTTTCTAGACCGAACTGGGTAAAGTGAAAAATATGAAAGTTATAGATTTTTCTCTTATCTTTACAATGGTCAATAATTACTTCATTTGGAGCTCTATAGAGAAAGTTATAGCTGAAATACCAAAACATATGCAGTGAAAGTCTGCACCTTGAAATTGCTCTCCTCCTTCCATTAAAATTCTTTTTTTATCAAATACCTATAAAAGTACAAATAAATCAATAACAACCTATCTTATCCTACATTAACACCAAATTAAACATAAAACTAATCATGATTAGATTGATTCACTTAAAATAACTAATTTAAAATAATTAAATAAAAGTTACTAATTTCTATACATTGCTACAAGAACTAAGCTAATTGATTATCAAAATTAAACTCAAATAACTCTATATCATAAAGTTATCAGTAAGTTACTTTTACATATGATAATAATGATATAGATGATTGTATACTCATCACAAATTTTAACTTCTAAAAATTGATTGTATAAATATTATATGATTTGAATTTAATATTTGAATCCACCTTTTCCTCTATATTTTAGCTAAATTTATATGTTTTTTAATTATCATTCTTTTATATAAAGTTTCAAGAGATTGGGGCTTGTTATGTCCTTTTGCTTTTTAAAATAGTTGATGATAATTGTATGATATAATATTTTAAAACGTCTCTAAATTATTTAAAAAAATTAAATAAATTTTTACTGTTCAAGTAATATTTGTATTTTTAATTTTGAGTTAAATAGATTTTTATAATCAATGGTTGATTAATTTTCGTTAATTAAAATTTCACTTGTTATTTTTATATCACGTAATACTGATATAACGTCAATGTAAAAAGTAAAAATACTACATAATCATGCTATTATATTTTATAAATATGCCGTATCATTATCATTATGACATGTTAGTATATTACCATAACATTAAATGTCATAAAATGACAAATACCGTTGTCACTAATAATAGATAGTCAAAGAGTTTATTTGACTTAAAAATATAAAATTTGATGAAACTAATAAAAAGAATAAAAACTTATTTAAATTTTTAAAAATAATTTAACAATTTTTTAAAATTCTATGCAAAATTATATTTGCCTAATAACAAAAACTGTTAGGTTGATAAAGTATAGACTTTCAATTTTATTGCAATCAAATAGAAAGAGCCTCTCAATAAATAAATAAAGAAGATGATAAATTATAAGGTAAAATATTCCCATCTCTAAGTTTTAGTTGAAATTTCAAACAAGTACATTAATTTTTGAAATGAACACTCTTTTAAAAAAAAATGCAAATTCTATTAACAGAAATTCAAAAAAGAAAGCAGCGATCGATACTTCCCATCTAAGGAAGGTTTTTTTTTTAATTAATAAAAAAATTAATAAAATTATATAATAATAATTTTAAAAATTAAATAAGGGTAAAATTATTTTTTTACCATTACCACATCATCAAATTGATAGAAATACTAACGGTTGGCTAACGGTTAGACCTAAGTGTCTAGCGAAAAATGTTTTTTTGAGCGAAATGTCCATTTTAAAATCTAATAGATCTCCGTATAATTTTCATCAAAATTTAAAAGAGTAAAGGTATTTTACCCTAAATTATATCATTATAAAATTAATTAGTTTTCTATTTTTTGTAGCTTTATAAATAATTTAGTACCATACTCGTAGTGGGGCAAGGGGAAGGGGGTTAGTAGGCCCCCACCTCCTCTAAAAATTTTAAAATTTTTATAACAACATTTATTTTTTAAAATTTTAAAATTTTACCTTTATAATAATTTTTTATAACATACTCTTCTCTTTCTTTTTTTAAAATTTTATAATTTTGCTTTTTAGTTTATAATTTTTATAACATACTAATATGTTATTTGAATTTGTATTTATTTTGCATTTTATGAGAGAGTTGTTGGAGATAACAAATGACCTCTCCAAAGTTTTACAACTTAAGTATCAAAACATACTGAATGCAATTCATTTAGTGTCACTAACAAAAAAGCATCTACAACAATTGAGAAAAGATTGATGGAAAGCTTTATTTGTATCAATGAAGAAATTTTGTGAGAATTATAAAATTGAGATTTCTGATATAAGGGTTAGATATAAATTAGGTAAAAGTTATCTTCAAAAGGATCATGCCACAATTAAGCATCATTGTCGAGGTGACTTGTTTCTAACTGCTATTGATATTATTTTACAAGAATTGGATTTCAAATTTAATGAAAATATGATGGAGCTGCTCATTCTAGGTACGTCTTTGGACTCTCAAAATGATTTTGAATCATTTGATGTTGAAAGTACTTGCAACATTACAAATAAATATTATTTTGATGATTTTACTGAGCATGATAAAATGTATCTAAGCTATTAATTGGATCTATTCAAGCTTGACATTCTTCATAATTGGGTTTGAAAAATGTATCTACACTTTTTGAGCTGTATCAAGTGTTAAAAGAAGATGCAAATATAAAAAGTTTACTTCTCTGTTGACAAATTGATCTGGTTTATCTTATCTTTTGTAGTTTTCACTGCAAAATTAGAGCGTGCATTTTTCACTATAAAACTTGTTAAGAACAAGACTTGTAATAGAATATCAAATAATTTCTTAGAAATTTGTTGATCATACTCATTGGAAAAAGAAATCATTCGAAGCTTTGACATTGATTTAGTGATATATAGATTCAACTCTATGAAAGACTGTCAAGCTCAATTAAAGATGTCCAATCTTAGCATGCAATAGTTGTTAAAGAATATCTATATTTTGTACTTAACAAGTAGTTTGAGTTTTTTGTGTAATTTTTATATGAATTTTTTTTATCTAAGTTACTTTATGTTTTTGTCAAACATTGAACTTGTAGTATGGCTATTTTACAGACATTGTCTTTGTTCCGATAACAACCTACTCCTATGACTGTTATCAGTGCACAAGTCACATAGGCAAGCCTAAAATAACCCAACAAGCCTTTTAAATATATTAATCTCATCAAATAAATTCTTTTCGTTATCATATACTAGCAATGCTATATAACCAAAATTGCAAATTTAACTCTTAAATACTCATAAAAATTCTTAACAAAAGATTTAAAATATATGTACAACAAGTCTTAAAATGTAAACCTTCAAACATTACACAATTCAAATTTAATCAAACATTATCCAAAGGTCTCGGCCCAAAAAGTTTTATGAATACATCACTTTATATAAAAATAGTAGACAACTTCACATCTAGACAACGAAATGATATAAAGGTAGGGCTATGAGACACCAATTACTTACACAACTAATTGAAGCCCTCTCACCACCACGACTACTCCAAAAGTTTACTTATCTACCATATCAATTAGTTTGGTGAGTCTTTCATACTTAGTGAGTAGATAGGAAGAGAAACAAGCATTTGGGTAGAGCTTTTGAGAAAAACATATTAATAATAAACACGTACAATGATATAAATTGTGTATAGAGTTAATAAATGGTGCGCAAATCAATATAAGATACTTGAGTTTAAATCTCAAAATTTTAATCACTTCTGTAGCGTAAAAATCTCATGCTCAATAAAATCAATTAACCATGGCAATCTCAAACAATATAATTTTCCAAATGTCATGTAAACTAATTAATCAAAGCCATGATTTTCTCCAACAAATACAATGACAATGCCATGCTTAATTTGTAAAAACATATCAAGTAGGGTACCCTTTGGTAGGTCTAATATAGGTCATAGGCTCTCTCTCTCTTATCAATAACAACAACACCTATTCACGGAAACTACCCACGCCACCAAATGAGTCAGGGTTACAAGTCCCCCTTTACCTACTTGTGGAAACTCTTCACTTCACCAAGGATGACTCGAGGCTTCAAGTCTCCTTTGCCTACTCGTGAGGAGAGGTCCCCCTTTTACCTACTTGTGGGAACTCCCCCCGCCACCTAATATGAGTCGAGGCTTCAGGTCCCTCTTTACTTACTCGTGGGAACTCCCCACGCCATCAAATATAAGTCGGGGCTTCAGGTCTCCCTTTATTATCAATTATCAATCATCAATCATCAATAATCACTAATTTGTGCACAAAGACCACACAAATCTAGTATGGTAATAGGACTTATACCCGTAAAATTTACCCATTAAAATAAACCAATGGAATTTCAAATAAATAGAATCAATTTCAATCATAAGCTCAATAGGCATGTATGTTTGTTTAAACAACGAAAGCCGTGAGCAATATATAACCAAGTTCATTATAAAATCAGTGAACAATAAACTAGCAAGTTCACGTATGAAATCAATAAGCATGGCATAGTTAAAATATTTCACTCAAGCATCATGTAAATTGAAACCAAAGCAGAATTTAAAATGTTTATGATCAGCCTCTCCAGGGGCTTTATATGTTAAAAGGAATTACCCACTCATCTTTTTTGGTAGGAATTCTCACCAATTACGAAATCACTTAGTTTAAGCTTGGTTTGGCCAAAGACTAGCAACATCCAAACCACCACCACCCAAGCCCTTAGAAGTTCAATGCCTCAGGTTAAAGTGTCAATGACCCATAGCTTACAAACTTTGTTTGACAGAAAAGGCAATAGCTCAAACAATCACTAGCAACACACACGATGGCATTTCTTAGCATAATGTTTGATGCCAAACCTATTTGCACGTTCGGCCAACAATTACTATAGCAATTAAATTTCAAATTACATCCATTTTCTCACCTTCTTAGCTTCACTAATCTGCCCTTGGTACTAGGCCTCGGTTAGATAAAATTTCCAATAGCTTTTGCTTAGCGTTAAGGTACTAGCTCAATAGCTCCTAATCATCAACATCGCACATTCTTTAGTACATTTCCAATGCTGTATTATTTAATAATTTAAACTCTCCTTTTAACTTGCTAATTTGGCCTTCACTATAACCAATTTACCAACTCATTGAGGGCTTGTGTTAGGCTTCGGGTTGGACAGCTTTCACAGAATTTCTTTTCGTTCCTTCAAACCTTGCAACAATATTCACACATCACATCTAATTTCAAGCTATTAAAGTTTTTCTACTCAACCCGAGGGTAACTTGCAATAATTACTAAGAAATATCCACAATCATCTTACCTTGCTTGATGGTTAACTCATTCAAACATATAACTTTCAACTCTTCATTAATCCAAGATAACAAATCTGCCATATGAAATTCAGATATCATTAATCCTTTGCACTATAAAATTCAATGCCAAAATGAGGATTTCCTTACCCTTGCTTTCATTTCCACCACTAAGCCTTTATCGTGAACAGCCCAAACCCTCTCAAAAATAAATTATTATCCTCGACTGCCATGGAAATCAAAGCTCTCTTGCTTGTTTTCCTCACCACCCGTGGGATACCTTTGAATCAATCTTTGAAGTGGACTTTTGGAGGCCTTCGGGTAGCTTGTGTTTTGGAGGGAATTAACAAATTTATTTGGATCTCAATGGCTTTTGAACTCTTACTTGAATGATGAAAGGTTCTTGGGGAGGGTTTTATATTTGGTTTCAGGTAGCTTGAAGGGTGGAAGTCGAATGCCTCCAATTTACAAAGAGTGGACAGAACTTCCCAACTTTCCAAGCACCTTTTAATGTACTTTTCTCCCTTCTGCTTTAAGCTTGACTCCTTGCAAAAATTCTCCAACTCTCTTGATTTGTTTGGAAGGGTAGAATACCTTAAAACATAGCAAGGGTGCTCGGTTATTGATGGGCGGATTCGACCAAGCCCTTTTTCCTATTTCAACATTTTATTATAAAATTATTATTTTAGTTTTATGTCAACGACTCTATTTTTCCTTGATGTTTCTTATTAATAATAGTCATAATAAGTTTTTATTGATAAATATTTTTATTAAATTAATATCTTGAGAGATGAGATGTTACAATCTCTTCAAATGTGAAATCTTGATTCTACCATTGGTTGGTATATATGTAAAGTTTTGAATTAATTTGATATCTTTATCATATCAATAGAGAATATTATATTTTTTAATATATATTTAATGATTAAAATTTTATTATATAAAATAAATGGTTCAATATTTTCAATTAATTTAAAATTTGTCATTTATAATTTACATTAATTAATAAAGCATGAAACTTCGAGATTGAATTAACTAAATATAAATTATATGAAAAGATATAATAGAATGTATAAATAAATTATCAATCTAAATAAATTTCTCATAAAAATTTATCAAAAGTAAAGGAAGAGAGGTGGATAGATTTGTTGGACACCAAACAAGTTTAATATTTTCCATTAATTTGCAATTTGCTCCAGTACAACAGAATTAAACGGTATCTTAATTGTCCTCAGACAGCAAAACAATGATAATTTTAACTATTATAAACACACATTTAAAAAAAAAAAAAGGAAACATAGTAAATTAAAGCACATAATTATCAAGTTGTAACAAATGTCATGCACTTTTGCTCTCTTCAGCAATCTGTTTTAGTGCTTTTTCAGAGCAACACCAGACAGTAGGACCAACGACATCAAGACCACAACAGTCACGAAAGACGCCACCACAGCTCCGCTCACTTTCTGGCAAAAGTCTCCAAATTGTTGGCAGATGGCTAGCCAGTTTGTGTTAGGATTCCCGTTGTGGGCCAAGTACACTATGGCAGCTGCGGCGGCCCCGGCGGCTGTGGTCAGAGTTAATGCCACCTGCGATTAATATTACACGAAGAAGTTAGTTGTTCATGTTACTATGTAATGAGAAATAAACATGTCACTGAGATCAGTCCGTCATATTTATTGCAGGATGCTTACGGTGTCCAAAATGAATAGGAGGAGTCTTGGTGCAACTGCATGAGGGCGGACGATGGTGACTATGGAGAAAGGGAGGGAAAGGACGAGATAGCCGGCAATTAGTGCCATTGCGATGACAAAAAACCTGCAAACCAATCAATATTTATGTCTCAGTTTGCTACCAACTATATCTTAATTCCCATATAATCTACAGAAAAATAAAATAAAATAAATGATATTCTAACGTACATAAACGTGGGCAGATCATCATAGCTAGCTTCGAACTGGAAGAATTGAGTGAAGAAAGGGAGTGTCTCATCACTGGTTCCCATGGTGGCAGCAGCAGCAAGAGCTGCAATTATGGCTCCTAATCTCAAAAGGAAGTCGAAAATTCCCAATCCCTTCTTGAATCTGCTCTTTTGCTCCCTGGGAGTAGCAATTAGAGGTGCTTTACCTTTTGCAACTGCGCTGGACTCTGGGACATCAATGGCTGCGTGATCATCGCTCTTCATTTTCTTTTTCCTTTTTGTTTTGGGAGAGAAGAGAGGAATTAAGAGCTTCTAAGAGTAGTGGAGAGCTTAGCTAGCTGAAGCTGAGAGAAGACAAGTTGAACCTTGCTGTGATGAAAATGGCTATGTAGATGAAGTTTATATAGAGGGGGTTCAAAAGAGAAAGAATGGTTGGTTAGGAAAGCATGTATGAATAAATTATTGCTGACAGAAAAGGAAAACGTTACGTTGCTATTGGAGTAGGGTAATTCTCTGCCTACTTTTTTCATATTACTACAAATATTTAAAATATAGCATTGAAGTTGGTAGAGAAATCTCAGTGGACAGACATACAAGGCATCCATTAATGGAGGCTGGTTAACTCAGCCAAACAATTTGGATCAATATGTCTCAAGTTATTGTTATGAATTAGATGAAATGAAGTATGAAATTTAAGTCTTTTCCTCACCAATTTTGTTCCATCTTTTTATTTGTTATAAAGTCACAACGCCGCTGTACATATGCAAGTATGAAATTTCATTGATTTTTTCTTTTCATATAAGAGTATGATCAGAGAAGAGAATTTTAAAGTCAATTTACATAAGCTGAGGTTCCAAGTTTTTCTGGTCATTTGCAACTATAGCTTTTACTTGGTAAGACAGAATAAAGATGGAGTAGGAATTTGTTATTCAGTCAAACACAACTATGACAAAATACCAACTCACAAGAGCGTGTTATTCGCTTAATCAGTCAACTAAAACCCACCTGACCTCCCTAATCCAACAATACCAAGATGGATCGTTGCCTAAACCCCACAATATAAAAATGGATCTTTCTCATCTACTTCACTCTTTGGGTATGGCATGTTGTCATAGAAAATACACCTTTGATACATTCTTCAAGGTTGTCTGCAAGCTTGTATTCCATTTATGTTATGTACCATTATGTTTGATTCCCAATTCACTCAGCAATACCAAGAGGGAGAACTGTATGTAAAATCAATTGTGTAAACAACTTCCCTTCAATGTCCATCTTGGAATAACTTGAATTTCAGCCAAGCCAACTAATAACAAATCTCAGTCAACCTGTTTTCGATGGACACTAAATTCTGAAGTGCTTCATAAACAGGATCTTAATCTCATTGCATACATGTGTATTGAACAAGGGGAGAGGGGAAGCTAAGTTTAATTGTGCATCTACTATCTAGTTCATAATCTACATATTTCACAGAGGAGCTGGAGCAAAATAAAACTGTGATTCTTTCATTGACTAGAATTTGGACCAAAACATGATGAATGCAGTAGAATTCATGTCTGCTTTTTAGCTAACATAACAGGCTCTTCTGCTCAAAATTGTAGTGGTGTGGGACAACAAACAAGGTGTGACAAAATTGATTGTGAAAAAAAAGGACAACTTTTATCATGTGTAAGCCATTGGACATTTGTGTAAAAGCAGATCACTCTATTGGTAAAAACCGGATGAAACTCTGATCACAGAAGGAAGCAATTGCAAATGCTTGCCCAATAATCAAATGCTAGAAGCTGATTATGTATGAATTGTCCATCCACGCTCAGCAAGTGCCTTGATCACCTGGCTAGCAGCCTCTGCAGTATCATTTAATGGAGGATACCCCCAGCTCTCAGAAATCTGTAAAACCAAAGCATCAGAAGGAATGCAATATTACATGTTTGTCGTTGTTATTTCACATAATCCTTGTTGCATTCAAAATTTACTCTTGTTGTGCTCTGTAAAGAAGGGAGTGGTAATTACACTGGCAAGAAAAAAAAAATTGTTGTGGCTTTCCTTAATAAATCAGCAAGGAAGTGCATCAGATAACTTACATCCTCTTTGCCGGTGAAAGGGCGAACCACTCCTCGTTCCTGCAGAGACTTTTGGAAGTCTGCAAACTTCCATGTACATCTCTCAGCTCCTACAACATAGACTGGTTTTCTGAAGCACAGTGAAAACTTACTTATGGCAAGGCATGTTTAGATTCAAAAGAATCATATAAAAAGTTAATAATAAGAGGTTGGTTATGGTAGTCCAGACCTACCCAGTAGTGCAAGCCTCACTCAACATGCTTACTGAGTCAGCTGTGATAACAAAAGCATTGGCCCAAGCTAGATGTCCCATATGTGGGTTAGGACCTGAAGAACATAACATCAATCCATGGTGAATAAAGTTAGTTACTGTGAAAAGTTGGAAAAACAATCATTTGAAGACTGGAAACTGTGTACCTTCACCAACCCAGATGTAAACCTTTGGATTAGCACTGAACTCTTTCAATAAGATTTTTGATACCTATCAGTACAGGCACCACGAAGAATCTGAGTACTAATCAGAAAACCAAAATAAGAGTTCTAATTGAGAAATATAGCAATAGAAACATTCAAGTTTTACCTTCTCAGGAGTCCTTCTAGAGAAAGATATTCTAAGGCTGCCACAACTCCAAAGGACATTCTGCAGCATAGCTGTTAACTGCTTTGCAAGATCCACACCATATTGGCAGCTGCCTGCATAAAGCTTTTGATTTAGCATATGTAGTAAGACTAGTACATAAGGTTTAAAAGGTGGAATGGTAGACATTTTTGACTAAGATATCATGCATTCATTTTTGTATACCAATAGCAATTAAAATGTTGCTTTTTAAGTAATAACAGCCCAATGACACAATCACGTTATAACTAAAAGAAATTCAGGTATTTATGACTGGAAATTTGACCAAGTTCATGGATCAAGATTCTTCCGCCCATATCATCGTAAAAAATGAAAAAATATGACTATTTACTCAGTTCAACAATGACAATAGAAATACTTTCCTTTCAGGGAAAAAAGTCATAGAAGAGTATAGCTAATGCTTTTTTTATTTTTTATTTTTTGGTAGAAAGAGGTATAGTTAATGCCTGATAGAATTGGAGCAACTTGACGTAAACCATAATCATCCCACAGTTGACGAGACAAACCCAACATTTCCTTTTGTGCTTGTGAAAGTTGAGAGAGTTCTAAAAAAATACTCTTTCCATGTAACAGCATTGTTTAAGTTTTGATTGCAGCAATACCACCCCCCAAGTATACATGCACTACCAACTTTACACACAGTGAAATATCACTGTGAGGATTATTTCTAGTTCCCTTATCACCTAAAATCTCTAGGCTATATGGTCTCAATGGACAGAACAATCACCAAACCTATATTGTAGCAAGTTCTTAAATTAGTGAAAAAACCTAAATGTTTGTAGAAACTTCCAAAGTTCAGGATAGTAAGTGGAATGAAAAATAACTAGTATTTTTAGGTTATCGACAATTAATCCTTCATATTCTCTGTCCAACCAAATTAGTCAAATGCACAAAGTCAATTATCTTTTCATGAATATCTGCCAGCATCATGTTCTATTAGGTGCAATAGAGTCTGACAAATTCCAACATATTCAAAGGATACATTAATAATGAACCAAAAGAAAAAAAAAGCATATATTAATATGCTTTAAACTACAGTCGGCTTAAAAAAAATCACTAAGTATCAACTAACGTATGAAAGACTGCAAAATCCAACAAATAGATACTTAGAAAGATGATAAATTGCAATTGATAACAAACTCCATGATGCACAGAATATTACTTGTTGGCCCTCCAATGTTGACAACAAGCAAGGGCTTTGGAAGTGGTGACAGTTCATAGTGCCAGACAGAAGCAGCACTTCTGAGAGCAGCAGAATCAGCCTGATGAAGAGCTCCCACAGTTAGAACCTGATATTCAGAAAACCATTGCCATGAGCTAGATACCAACCCATAACCAACAACAAGAGCAGCTAAACTATAACAGCCACCAAAGATTTTCCTACATCAAGAACCATCCAGAGTGAGTACTTTACAACTGAAATACGTACCACACATCTATCAGGAGGTTCACGGGGAGTTATCCACCTCCGGAGAAACCAAGGAATTTGTTTCTGTGCATGAGGAGTCAATGGATAAAAATCATGACGTGGAGTAATAACTAAATCAAACCTATTCAGCTGTGACCGTGGATGTTGTATCTGAAAAATGAAATCAAAGAAAAGAAACTATTAGAGCCATACATTGCAGTATTTGCATTTGAAAGAGAAAAAGTTAACATACTCATGATCATATAATAAAGGTGGACACGAGAAAGGCTGGAAATGTAAAAAATCATACCACCATAATGAATAAACAAGAGCTGCAACTCTTTACTAAAATATAAAAGTACTAGCTGATGACTTCAAGCCACTTTTCTAGGAGTTTTTCTTATGCAAAATATGAAAGTCAACATACATCCAGAAAGAAGTATAAAAAGATTGAATCTTCTGACCACCTTTTAACCAGCTATGAAATTAATAATGTAAGACAGTTAAATAATTTCACAGGAGACATACAAAACACCTTGTCTATCAAAATTTTGGAAACTCCAATAAAATATCACGCTCAAATATAAACAAACAAAAGAAATGAGAAAAAAAGTTTAACCTGAACAACAAAAACATTTTCTGGAGCTAACCGTTTAATGGAGCTCGCAACAGGAATTGTATCCCGACCAGATGCGACCACCAACAGAGGACCATCCCTAAAAGGGTGAAAAAGAAATACGACATAATTTAGTCAGAAGAGAAGAGATGAGGCTAAATGAGCCATAAGTACTACGTGAGTTCATGTATCTAAACGAAAAACATAGAAAATGCATCTAAACATAAAAAAATTAAGGAAACACCTATAATAAGAGAAAACTAAGCCATCTAGTTCCAAGTTAGAAGAATATACTTGTCAAATGTATCACGAGCCATCTTTGCAATTTGCTTGGCATCAGCTTCTAGAACATTGGATAAGCCTACAGTACAGCCATTCTCATATGAATTTTATTTGTTTGGGTTAAACAAATTAACCAAACCAACGACTTTTCAGCAAAAAAGAGTGCTATGCTTAGTGCTATAATATGAAAACATATAGTTAGAGAGCTCAAAGCAAAGTTACCTGTTTTTTGAACTGCAAAAGGCACCACTTCATCCCCTCTAGCTTCCATTTGAAATGGTGAATAAATTTGCCTCATAATATAATTCACCTTTTTATGAAGAGAAACTGGAAGCCAATGAAGCCACCCATTAATCCCTCCTCTTGGCCTTGTAACACGCTGCATAATAGTATTAAATAAACCAAATTTTTGTTTAGCTCTATTTTAACATAAATTTGAATCTTGGGACACGTTAAAGAAACAAGGAAAAAGAAAAACTGAACTTTGAAAAAGAGCTACAAAAAGAAGCTTACGTATAAGGAATGACAACCCGAGAGGCCTAAAGCCCGAACCAAGCCGATGCATTGACTCTCAGCTCCAGAGAAGCCGTTTCCAATCACAACAACCCGTTTTATTGCCCCATAAATCCCACCTTCGAACACCTCCGCCCTGCTCCTCCGGCCTACGGACTGTTCAGGAAGCCTGATGGGTCTCATTAGCCGCCTCTGAAATGATCCAATCACTTCATACTTGAAGAAGACCTTTGTTCTTTTCAAGGAAACAGGAAAAGAAAGTTGAGGTTCTTCGGCACCTGAGAGTTCAAAAACATTTGCCTTTTTTGGAACATGAAAGTGGAAGCTTTAGGGCCGGGTTTACCCTTTAAAGAATTAAAGTCTATCTTGAAAACCATCAGGCCAGGCCCAAGTAATCTTACTATATATACCCCTTCGAAAGTGCTTCCTCTTCTCTGCTCTCTCTTCTTCTCTTTTACAAAATCCAACTCCCCGTGTTGGATTGTAACAGCCAAATAGGCCACTGAATTCGTTGTCCTAACAAAAACCCTTTCTTTTTTCTTCTCTTTGAAAGATGTGGGCAAGTTCAGAAGGAGGTCCACCAGAGGTTACTTTAGAAACCTCCATGGGCTCCTTCACTGTTGAGGTAAAACCTAACTTTTTTTTTTTACTGAGCTTGTTTCAGTATATATTGGGTTTATAATCAGTAGCTTAAGCCTGTTTTTAATTTTTTTTTTGCGTGTGTTTCTTACTGGGATTTTCAGCTATATTACAAGCATGCACCAAGAACTTGTAGGAACTTCATTGAACTTTCCAGGAGAGGTTATTATGACAATGTCAAATTCCATAGAATTATCAAGGTTCCTTTTTTCGTTTTTGTTCTTTTAATTTATGTCATTGGATTTTTGAGTAACTCGTTTATTGAAGCTGTATTTGGCTATTATGATGTAGGATTTTATAGTTCAGGGTGGGGATCCAACTGGGACTGGCAAAGGTGGAGAATCTATATATGGGTATGCCTCTTTTTTTCTTTTCTTTCACATGAGTTATAGTTCATAAATTTGTTGTCATTAACTAAGGGCTTAATCTTTACTTGGTTTATTGACTTTTTCATAATTGATGTTGGAGAATTCCCGTGATTTTTTTTGTTCTTTATTTATTTAATGTGATCAAAGCTGATGCTTTTATTATTGTTTTTGGCACTCGAAGTTACATTGTAAACAGTTTCATTAACATGGTTTTATATTGTTTTGGCATCTGGTTGGTTTAATTGTTGGCAGCTTTGGTGGTGTTTTATTGTGGAAAGAAGTTAAATTTCTATTTCTGATTTTAAGTTTCTTCGTTTTTAGTGGATGATTGTCTGATTTTTGTTTTTGTCGTTGATTTCAGTCCTGTGTTTGATGATGAGATAAGGTCTGAGTTAAAGCATACAGGAGCTGGTATTTTATCTATGGCTAATGCCGGTCCAAATACAAATGGAAGTCAGTTCTTCATTACTTTGTCACCAGCGCCATCTTTAGATGGTAATGATGTTATTCTTCATGGCTACAATAAGAATTATGCCTTTTTTTTTAAAAAAAAAGAAGAATTATGGTATTCTTCTTAGTTACAATAAGAATTATTTGGTCGACCTCTGGAGAAAATTGTTGGAAGCTGTTGATTCATAAGACCTAGCTAGTACTTTTTCTTTTTGAATGTTGAGATCCTTTTTTTATTAGCTACTTAATAGTGTGATGTCCAACCTGAAATGTTGCTGCCAACTGTATTGGGTTTTTTCTGCTAATGCTTTTACTTGTAATTTCCATGATACCTCTGTATAGAGAATTGTAACTGTTCAGAATTTAGAAGTTTTATTAAGGTGAAAGCTAAAAGCTATTTAAGATTTAAGGTGACGGTCACAATTACATAGATAATTTTGTCTGTGAATCGAGTTGGAATTTGTAGCAAGGTAAATTGGCCCAATCTATTGGGAGCAGACTCTCATCCCAAATTGTTTTGGAATTGTTGAGGTGATGGTTAGACTTCTGTGGAAAATTATTAATGCACTGGGTTGGATTTGTGTCAAGACCAATTATTCAACCTATTTGGGGCGGACTCTCATTCTAAACTATATCTGAGCTATTATCCTGCTTATCATTTATAAAACAAAAATCTTTAGAGCTTGTCAAGAAAAGCAAAGGCAGTGGAAGCTGGTTGATATTTTCAGGGGTTTTCAATTTTCTATGATGTGCTTTGGATCAATTAGTTGTCTAACCCTCTGACCTTGAAGACCAAACTAATTATATAAATTGAGATGATGACAACAATTTTCATTTCTGAATGGTATTTACTATCTGCATCCTTTTTCCTTTTGATAAACTATGAGGTTGTTTCCCACAAGAAACTTAAATCAGTGAGTTTTGGTATGAGAACTACAAGCTCGGTTCTTTCCCTTATGGTGTGTGATTTTGTATGTGGACAATTTGGTGTCCAGTAGTTTTACTCATTTGGCTAATCATCTGATGGAGTTTCCTTGTGCGTAATGCTTTGACTGGCGATTCTGTCTACAGGTAAACACACAATATTTGGAAGGGTATGTAGGGGAATGGAAATTATCAAGAGGCTTGGTAGTGTCCAAACTGACAGCAATGACAGGTAAGTTCTTTGCTCATAGATAATTTTTGCTTGTATTTATTGCCTCAATGACAGCAATGGCTAGATAGAGTAATTCTTTCTCACAATTTCCCAGTTGACAGATAAAACTAGTTAAAAGTGGGTGGAAGTTAATATATTTATGGAAGGAAACATGCAAACAGCAATATTTTGTGAGGAAAAACAATTTCCAGTAGATCTTGATAAGAGTTTAGACAATCTTGTTATCAGAAGAACTATTATGTTGAAAAAGCAAACAAAATTTATTGCCTCAACTCAGGGCAAATGGAATTATTATCCCTGTTATGTTACATTTTGAAAGTAAACTTCACAAAATTTTCTTTTCAAATTATTGGAAAAGGGAATGCATAACTTGGATTTCGTCAACCACTTTTGAGACATGATTTTGTGTAGTTCATTAGTTCAAAGTTGCAAATTTACTTGAATTTAGTAATAGCAGTTTATTGTCAAAAAGCCATTTCAAGCATTACAAAATAAACCTAATGAATGAGTAATAACTGATATTAATAAGAGCGCAAGGGTAAAATAACAATCATGTTTAGGTTGCTTATTTAATGGAATCATTTTATGTTAAATAGGTTATAATTCTCTCTATATTACTTATTTTCTAATTATTCAATAAATGAACTAGGTTAAATAATCATATCCATGTCAAGTCTACCTCAAAAGATCTATTTAATAAAAGGGTTACTAGAGCTGGGTTATTTTACCAGTTTAATAAAGAATGTGTTATGGTTGAGCATTTCAATACGATTAACTGAACGGGTCATCATAGTTTGACCTATATCTTATTATACTCTTATTGCAACAAGACATTAATACGGATTGCCACCCCTAGCCAGGGCATGCTAGCAGTCTTATTTGTCCAATTCTTATTTTCCAATGCACTAAAGTTCATACACTCAAATAATGACCAAAGTTTGTTATATTAGAAGTTGCTCTAGGATGGACTTCCGCATTTAGATGAGTTCATGTTTAACCGTTTTTCCCTGTTTATGCAGGCCCATTCATGATGTGAAGATGTTAAGGGCTTCTGTCAAAGACTAGCACCAGCGCTGCAATGATGAAAATTCTAGTGCTTAGGAATGCTTTTCTTTTCCCTGACTATTTTGGAACTGGATCATTCGTAAATTTGTTATCCATTGTGTTAAGAGTTAATTTAGCTGAAGTGGAACTACCGGCAATTCCTTTGGAGCTTCTCTTTACATTTGTCTTATCTTCTATGGATTCTGGTGCCCCCTCTTCTTTGTTTTTGAATATCAAATCTGATTATGGCCTTGTGCCCGGTAGCCTATAATTATCGTCTTCCAGAAGGCTTACGGTCTTGCTTTCTTATGATATGTACCCATTTGAACTGCCAGGTATGAATAGGTAAGAGGCTTCTCTCCACTGTATTGTTACCACCTAAATGGAAAGAAGTCGATTATCATTAGCTTGATCTTGTCAACTACAACTCCCCATCTGTATGGCAGTATGTAGGAATTGATTTACCTCGACCCCAAAACCGTACGTGGTACCGAAGGCAAATTTTCAAGACAAGGGAAGGGAAACATCATGGATATGCAGTTGGCATTGCAATTCAAGCTCAAAAATACCAATTTTTGGCATTAAAAATAATGGATTGGAGTACAACTTTGACGGTGCAAAGCCATATAAATGCCTAAAGATTAGGTTGTTCTATTTCATCAAATTTTGTGAGTTTATAGGACGACAGTAATACATGAAACTATAATATAACACCACCTTCCAGCAAGCCAACCAACAATGCCACTACCAAAACCACTAAAACACAAGCCATGCTAAAGGGGTAAAAATAAAAAGTCTCCTCATAATATACAAACCAGGCTAAATTTCTACAGTTCCTCTAGTTCAGGAGGAAAAAATGCAACAGCAATCCGGGTATCTATATCAGTAGCTCATAGCATCATCTCTTCCCAATCCGCTATTCCTTAGTATGGCGCACAATAAAATCATATTCTACCAACTTTCGCCGGCATTCTTTCTCCCCAAAAAAAATTGGAATCCTATTTAAGGTGGAGTGCAACTATAGTTATCCACCAGCCTCAATTCCTGTGGATAATATGACCACAATAGTTGTACCTTACAGGGGATTATCCCCCATGGAGGTAATGACTTCGTTTCTGAGTTCAAAAAACCACCAAAGTGTTACGACATATGCACCAAAATTTAAATGTCAGCTAAACTTGCCTGAATTTGTAGTCTGGTTCAATTGACTCCCATTCTCTTCACAACTGGTAAGATTCAGCATAGGCAATGGAATCTGATTAAATCCATTAGACTTGACTGATCCAGTGGAGGTGTCTTTCAAGATTGTGATCCTTTCTGTTTCAGAGGTTTTGATAGTTAGCTCTTCAGGAGCACCTTCTTTTTGTAGCATTTCCATACACCGCAAAGATGGGACATCACCCTTACAGTACCTGCGCCACATATTCCGATATGTTGCCTCCAAACCGCTGATAAAGTTCTTTCCATCACAAACAGATGATTTAGACATAAGGTCTCGAAGACTCATTCTCAGGTTCTGGAGAGCAGTGACATCTGAGGCCAGTTGTAGTGCCAACTGGACATATTCATCTTCATTTTTGGCTATCAGACGTCCTAAACCTACATTGCAAATACCCAGCATGCTACATCATTTAGCCAGGGGTATAAACATCACAGAAGAATAAATTAAAACCATCTCAACCAACACTAAGAGACAAGTCCGGCCTGGGATGTTCAAATAATTTGAATGCTAGGTATATCAGAGTGAAAGCCATAAGCAAAAACAATAAAAAGGCCAAGGACATAACATATGCCAGACAAAAACAACATAAATAGATAATAGATATTGCAAGAGAAAGTGAAGCCCATTACCAACTTTGCTGAGAAGACTGACACCAACATTATGAGCATGTACTGATCCAGCCATGGTAACGCATGGAACTCCCATATATAGAGATTCACACGTTGTCGTTGTTCCAGCATATGGAAAAGTGTCCAAACTACATAAGATATGTAACAAAAGTTAGAACATCTAAAAAGGATGCAAATAGAAACCAGGACCAACTAAAAAATGAATTTATTTCCTAAGTAAAACACTTAGTAAACTCAATCAAAAGGGGAGAGGAGGGTGGAACTAATAACAAAAGAACAAGTTGCTAGTGACTCATAATAATTGATGGGTCACACATCTACAGTCAATAAAAAACTCTTATTTTTAATAGAATATCGAGAAGCATCCAAGTCTTCATATTATACAGAGCTATCAGCCTATCACTTGAAAACCAAAGACCTAAACCCATTTTTCCTCATGATCAGTGTTTAACATCTTTGCCATAACTGATTGAACTGGCCTGCAAATTCCAGATTTTAACAAACCTGCTATCTTCACTTCCCTTATGCCCTATGCGCTTCCCAACAAATAAAGAAAATCCTTGATGGCTAATGCTAAAAGCCCAGTATACCATGAAGCAGAGAGCTTTATAACAAGTGGTTTTCATGGTTTCAAACTTGAGAAGACACAAATCAAGATGAGATGGAAATGAGTAAAATCAGGGAACAGCTGAAGAAACAAAGGTAAAGAAAATGACAGGGACAAGACAGGAATAGTTATGCCACAAGGAAAGAGAGATAAGAAGAGAAAAAAATTGTGAACTTGGAAGTGCCAATAACACAAAGTGTGCAATTAGATTTTACCTGATGTCCATAAGAGAATAAGCTTGCATATGATCATGATTAAGAAGAATTAGAGGGAGAAGATCAACACGGAGTGATTCTAAACCCAGCTGCTCTAGTGTCGTAAGAAATTTCTGCCTAACACTGTCACAACAAAATGGCTTGCATTTTACCACGAGACGAGAGTTTGGAACTGCACATAATATCCTTGCCCAAACTTGCAAGACCTTGGGTGTTATCTGGAAAGGTTACAATAAGAGGTTTATAATGAATGCTATAACTAATTAGAAACACAAAATATAACTTTAGGTTGTAGTTACCCAAACAATACCTTTGCCAGATTATTGAAGCTACCAAATGTAATGAAGCCATTGGATAGAGCAGGAGTTGGTGAAACAGGCCCAGCCTCTGGGGAAGGGGTATAACAAAGAAAGCATTCTGGTAGTCGAACTAACTCCTCAACATGCCTGCCATTTGGTACGATTAGTGTCCAAGTAAGTAGAACTCATTTTGCATATCTCATCTAACACTAATTCTAACTGAAAATGCAGTCAGCTGAAGTAAAAAACAGTACTTCTGCTTCGTATCCGGAAGATCTGCAAGTGGATCAGTGATTCGATAATCAATGCTAGGCAAACCAGTAGTATTGGGATAGCCAATCCAAGTCACCTACAGTGAAAAATATGAAAGAAATGAGAAAGATATAGCAAATACCTAGTTTACAAATCATGCATACCGCAAAAGTAAAATCACCATGCATAAACCAAACATCCAAAGACCAACTCAGGTTTCACTCCAAAAGATTTCTTCTATTATGAAAATTCTTTTAGTTCCATTGATGACAGAAGAACTTAAACATGAAATGGTAAAAAAAAAACAAAAATATGGTACCTTTAGCATACCTGAACAGGTGCTGGTCGACATGCCATTGTTCCCAACTTATTGTTGGCTGTATGACCAGTAAGCTCTACCAAGATGTCAATTTTATCATCTCTAACCATGCTCGCAACCTTCTTTTCATCAATACCATATATATCTCTCCATACCCCACCCTTTTTCATGACTTTTTCCCGAAATCTATTAGTTTTTGCATCAGCCTGCAAAATCATAAGAATGTAGGTTCAGAGAGAAAGACAATCCATCATATAAAAAAAGAAGATATTACCTTTACTAAGTTGTTTGTAATAATAATAGAATATCAAAAGTCATAGCTCCAGACTTTTGAGTAACTTAAACACATATTACTCTTTTTTTTTTTTGGAAGACAGGTAGGTGGACATTGAATACATCACACTGACTTTTTGAACAAATTACTTGCATGATAAATATTGATGAGATAGTGACAAGAACAGTACTGCTTAGAGGATGACAGTTTATGAAGACAATATAACGTCAGACATAAGAAATTAATTGTAACGAAGTTAACTTCTTAGGCACAGCCATGAGAACTGGCATTGATGTAATCAAGGAGATTCCTTTCAATGGCTGGTGAAAATAGAGGTAAATTAAGGGAGTGGTAACAGTCCTAATGCATTCTCTGTGCCACATCTGTTATAGAAATATCATTGAAAATTGTCCATGAGCTTCAAAAGGGAAGACAAAGCAAGATTGGCCATATTCAACTAAATATGCAAACAATTCTAGTTTCTGTAAGATTACAGATGGTAGGTGCTGAAGAAATCACTAAGCAATTGACATAAATATATCCCAAGCATTAGTACCTTCACTACTGCTGAATAAACGACCACCTGGTAATTCCCATAGTCATGATAAACAAGAGGGGCTTCAATAAAATAAGACACAGAATGAGTAAAATAATCTGGAGAAATATATCCAATCACAAGAGGTCGTTCTGGATCTTTTGGGTTGTCCCATGAATTGTACTGTGGATATAACCTCATAAATCGCCTTCCCCAGTCCCTGTGTGTGAAAAATTCAATTTAGAAAGCCTCCAGAAAGCTAGTTTGAGATTTGTCAAAAGATAAATTTAAATTTCAACCAGTTTTAAGAAGGTGCCAATACTTGTATTCACATATAAATGGTCAAACATTCAGCCAAGAATTGTATAATTCGTCAAACAGGGCATAAATCAAAACACAGCTTTGAGAAGGAAAGTAAAACGGGATATCTAAATCTTTTCTTCTGGCATCTGTTTAGCGCGTACATAGCAGGGTATTGGAGATATCTCACTACACTTAGGATAAAATTCTCAATGTAGCTATTGCTATCATCATCCATTTCTTTCTAAAATTCTGGACCATCCCAAAGTTTTCATTTCTACTTTTCTTGGGTAATCTTTTTTTAAAAAAAAAGAAAGAAAATAGATATATTTACAAAGAATAGATCAAACTCTACTTTCAGTCTTTCAAAATACGTTTTACTTGTCAGGAGAAGAAAACAACAAGGAAACTGAGAGAATGCTGGCATTATGGCTTAAAGTATGCATTTGTATGTTGCATGGGAAAGAATTGCATCAGGTAAAATGCTTCAACAGTAGAGTAACACATCCCAAAGCAAAAGTGCATTTCTGAAACAAACAATTATGACAAAGAAGCTACATGGCCTAATGGCACTAAAAAGCCATTGCTAAAAGCAGGATTATGGCATGGCTGATACAATATGGTTCAATATTTAACAGTATTTAACAGTTTTGCACTACGTATTAGCTCATACTTATATACATGAATGCTTAGACAAATGCCTGATAAATAAGAAATAAATTACGTATTAGCTCATACTTATATACATGAATGCTTAGACAAATGCATGATAAATAAGAAATAAATTACGTATTAGCTCATACTTATATACATGAATGCTTAGACAAAAGCATGATAAATAAGAAATAAACTAACTAAAGATAGCAATCCAATAATAGCAAGAAGAATATTTGTAATGATGCAGCTAATAAACAGACTTGCAATTAGTTGATGTGATCATTCTTGGATGCTCCCAGAAATGCCACAAACTAATGCCAACCAAATGTTAAAATGATACTAATAAAAAATTTGACATTAAATGCAAGCTAGGTTGATAGGAGTTCAATAAACCTGTGAGCCTCAAAAAGTTTATCATCATCTCCTTCATTAATGTAATTCATTGCAAGCAGCCGATTCTGCAAAAATTGTGAAATAAGATACAAACAGAAAGAATCAATAAATAAACAAGGACAACTGAAAAACCAGTGTGGAACTAGCATAGGCATCCAGTAACTAACATAAACCATCTTCTATGACTCACACCAGTGCCATCAATGAAAAATGTATCAAAAAGAGCATTTCAATGGAAAAATCAAAGATGCTCCAAGGTAACTAAACCTGCAACATAAAGACTCATGTAATAATACCTGTCCTGCATTACGAGAATCAGGATCTATCTTAAGGCATTGCTCATAAGCTGTGATAGCCATGGATATATTGCCAGCATCTCTGTAAAGAACCCCTGAACAAAAAGGATGCGAAGAATAAAATTATAAATAAACTAACAAAAATAAAATTATCTCCCAAGGGAATTGATGCAAGATTGTATATCTGTGAAAGCGAGGAACTGATGGTGCATTACAAGGTGCCCTAGCATATAGATTTCAGAACAACATAAGAAGCAAGAGCTAAACCTAAATTATTATATGCTTCTGCATATGTGGGATTAGCAATGATAGCTTTCTCGATCATGCTAGCAGCAGCATCCATTTTACCCTGTCGATAGTAAGCACATAGTCAATCACTGTTTGAGACATTGTCATGTCTAATAGTTAGAATTTAGAGGTGAAAAATGGGCGGGTTGGGTCTGGTCACCTTGGGGTTGAAGTAAATTCAAGTCATTTCAGGTTCGAATCATCTAGGGTTGACACTCAAAATATTTGGATTTAGGTCATTCACGTTCCAATCATTTCAGGTTCAAGTTGTTGACTTTTAAAGTAAAATCAATTTAGGTTCAAGCCGTTTCAAGTTGGTCTTTCAGATTGTCTGGGTTCAGGTCATGTTGAGTATAGATCGTTCAGATTGAAGTTGTTAACTTTTTCTGATCAAATTAGGTTGGATCAGGTTCAAGAAGGTCAAAAGTGTTTTCCAGGTTTGGATCCTTTTTGCCAGCTCTAAGCTAGATATATAATTTCACTTCAAACCTGAACTGTGTAGACAACACCAAGGTTGTTCAATGACTGAGAGAAGTTCGGTTTGATTGACAACGCCAACTGCAAGAAGATATTATCATAAATAACGATGCCCAAGGAACGCAATAGAGAATGAAGGCTTGAATTGTTACACAAACATCAAATATTACCTGGTAACACTCTACAGCTTTATCAAGGTTGTCTCTATCTTTGTATATTACTCCTAAATTGTTGCATGCCTCTGCGCAATGGGGGTTGAAGTGGAAAGCAAGTTCATAGAAAACAATTGCCTGCACATCAAAAGTTTGATGGTTAGATTGTTATCTGATGCAAACAATACAGAAACTACCTATAAAGTATGCATGTATCAAACTTTCACCATTAATGACAAATAGAAATTCAGTTTCCCAAAGAAAATTATGCACTTCCAAGCAAATAAATCTTAAGTAATTACTTACCATATCAAACTTCAGCATTTCACCATAAGCAACCCCAAGATTATACATAGCATCTGCATAGTGCCAATTATAATACAAAGCCTTCTTGTAATATGACACACCTTGGTTGATGTCTCCCTCTAACTTAACCTGAACAGACATATCACTGGATGCAAAATCAGGGATAGAAAATCTACAAACTTACTGATAATAAAGAAAGCACAAAGTGACTTCCACATATAAGTCCATAATAGTTGCCCATAATGCAAGAAAGCATATTGATCTAATGCAAGTGTTGGTTAAAAACCATGAATGGAATGTGCTAAGAGATTCTGCAAACAATTCCAAAATCAATACTATTGAGTCACAGGCAAATAGTAAGTTAAGAAAATTATGTTTGACAATCAAAGATGCAAAAATCAATAAATAGAAGGGCAGCATTTAAATATTTTGAACAAAAGCACCTCTGTTTTCCGTTAAAAGTTGTCTCCAAGTATAGGACCCATGTTTAAATGCTTCTGGTTCTCAGAATATCAAATAATAAGAAGTCACCGAAGATAGTCTCTCCAATACAAAAATATAAATACAGATAGACAAATACTTATATGTTTGAAACAACATAAACAAAAACATGTAATGAGCATCTCCATTCTGAACTCTAAGCAGTTTCATGCACATCTACGTGTATTTGATGCCTTGCTGGTCACAAAGCTAAAAACATGATTTTACATTCTATCTAATTAACAAAAAGTATTCTACCAAAAGCTATAATCCCCGGACACAAACACAAGCTTCTGGCTAGACACTGACACCATATGTTGAAGACAGCAACCTCAAAAAATCTAGACCATAGAGAAACTATCTATTACCAAACAAAATCTTATCATGTAATACGCAGATATTCAGCAACCACCAAATGTCGACTTGTCATTATCCAAACCATAGATGAAGACAAAATTAGTAAAAACAATAACAATATATAACTTTCTTCTAGAAAATGCAATGGCCTCCCACGGAACTCAAATAACCATTTCTGTGAATTAAGCTAAATTCTTATATAAATGACTGTACATGAGCAGGACACAGGTGGACACAAGTCCCGAGTCCTCGAGTGTTGAAAAGGTCAATTCTCAACAAACTAAACATCCTGTAAACTATAGGCCAAAGGTCATGAAACAAAGTTGGGAACAAAACTACAAAGGAAATGAAAAACCTCAATGGATGATGCTATTTAAAACGAGGGGGAGAAAGCACCTTTGTTCCCAAATCTGTCAAGGCAATAGCCATATTATTTTTTGCAATCTCAAAGTTAGGCGACACAGCTAGACACCTGGCAATAAAATAGTCAAGAAAAGAGAGCATCAGTTGAGATGGAGACATCGCTCAAATACACCAACTATATGTGAGGCTTAGCAGGCAACAAGCTTGAGCAACTAAATGCACACTACCTCTCATAACAGGCAATGGCAGATTCCAAGTCACCACGGTTTTTGTAAATGACACCCATGTTGCAATATGCTTCAGCATACATAGGTCTCTCTAGTGCAGCCTTCTCATAGCAACCAAGGGCAGTTTCATATTGCATCATCTCAGAATAGACAACACCAAGGTTATAGTATGCCGGCTGTATAAATTAGGTATTAGCATAAGGATATAAACTCAATGTAAAAAGGAAGACTATATAATAGCAGAGCTTGAGAAAATGGGGAATTAGAAAGACCGTGACTGCATATAAAAATTTAAATTACGACAAGGATTAATAATGGAGGATGAGAGAGAATGGAATTACAGCATAGTGTGGATCTATTTTAAGAGCTTCATAATACTTCTGAATTCCCTCCTGTGTATTGCCAGCAAGCTTTAAGCTGGTTCCCAGATCAGTTAGAACAATGGCTAGGCATTCTGCAGCTGGTTTGTATGAAGAGTCTGCTCTCAGAGCTTTTTGATATGACTGCACAAGTAAAACAAAACAAGTAAACATGTGTAGACTCGAATTGTAGAAACCCACAAATGAACCACTAATCAATGATCCAAACACAATTAATGGTTACAAATCTCATGAGAATACCTCAGCAGCATCTACCAGACGACCCTCATCTTTGTACAGTATACCGCAGTGAGTGAGAGCACAAGCATTCTGAGGATCCAACCTAATGGCTTCTGCAAAGCTCTCAAAAGCAGGCCTTCCCATGCTCTGCATCTGCAGGCATATCCCTTTTCCGATGTGGGCTTCAACACTCCCACTATCTTTCTCCAAGACACTGTCATACAGGGCAAGTGCGTCGACAAACTTGTTCCTGGACCGAAGAATGTTAGCATAAGAGAGAGCATCCTTCCCTTCAAACACCTTCTGTGCTGGAGTTGCATCAGCTGTTGAAATACTTGGACCAGAAGAAGACTGCGGTTCTTTTAAGAAACCATTTTCTGCAATCAGGTCCTTCTCTCTCCCATTTACATCTTTCCCAGTCCAGGCCATCTAGGTAAAACTATATTCTCAAGTTTCTGTACAGATAAAATCAAAGATAGCAAAATATATTAGTCTTAAAAGGTAACATCTTTTAGTTCAAACTGTTAATATAATAGTTCTCCTGTCATGTGATATAAAGCTTACTCTAAAGCTGATCAAACGAGTATAACAAGAACAAGTTTTGAAATCCACAAACAAGTCTCTAATTATTTCAAACATGATTAATCAATTAAATATAATATAAATTTCTTAAAATTATAAGTGATGAATCAGAGTCTTCTGAATTGATTACTTTAACCCAAAATCTATTGTTGGTTTCAGGGCAGAATTTGAATGCTTTTCTTACCACATGCTATCCTCAAGTCAATCCAACAACGAACAACAAATGAAGTTTTAAACTTTTGATCCACCAGTTGATTGCATGTGAACTATGCGCCAGAAACAAAAGTAATTAACCAATTTGGCTGAAAATCTAAACATTTTTTAGGTTTAACTAGAATTAATAGAACTTCTCTGACTGCATGAAACAATGCTAATAAAAATTTGGTCAAACAATTAAAAAAAATGGAAAAGAAAATTAAGGTTTTGAACTTTGCTTAGTAATGAGCCAAACCAAACTAAATCTCAACCAAGGCTCGTCCAACTCAACAAAGCTAAACCCATTAAAGAAAAAATGACTTTGCATCATTCTAATAACTTCAAGAACACGAATTGAAACCCTAAGCAAAGCAAAATGATCCAAGTAGGCATTCCATTTTAGCAAACTGATCAAAACCCAAAAAAGCTTAAAACCCTAATAAATAAACAAAACTAACAATCGCACTTTAAAACCCAGAAAAGCTTGAAACTCTAATCAACCAAAAAAAATTAGGGTTTCCTCATAAAAAATGAAACTTTATAAACCCAGCAAGGAAAACCAAAACAGAACAAAAAGATTGGGGATTTAACACTTACTTCTGAAGCAACCGAGCTTTGCCCCAAACTAACACAACATAGCTAATGCCAAAAACCACCCAAAAAGAAAAGGGTAGGACGGGTGTAGGACGAAAGAAAAGGTGGATGTAGTTTAAGCCTAAGACTGAGTTAGTTCAAGTTTAAGAAACAAAGAAAACAGGGTAAGTTCTAGATTAAGAAAGGCGGGTGTTTTTCTTGGAATAATGAAAAGAGGAAAAATGGAGCTTTGAAGAGTGGGCACCCTCTCGTTTCTCAGACAGAGAGGTGGGGAGATGGTGTTGGGGTTGGGGGTGTTGGATGTTCTCCCAAACTGAGACGAAGAGAGAGAGAGAGAGAGAGCCCCTGGTGGTGTATGTTCGTTAATTACAACATTTTTGGGCATAACAGGGACAGGGCCTTTGTTTCTTAGCCCTTGCGTTTTCTTTGTATTTGCATCTTTTACCACTTCAATCTCCAATGGCTCATGGCTGCGGCTCTACTCACTTTGGGGTTTGGTTTCCAAGTTTCATGGGTCACTGTCCGTTTGGTATGTCAAAAAATTTCTTTGTTGTGTTTTGCAGTTTCTTAGTTTTTTTAGGACAAAAAAAACAAGAGTAATGCAAACATAAACATAGCATAATTGTAACCTTTTTACTTTTTAACTGTAATTATGAAAAGACATTCCAATTTAAGTACAGTAGTGAAAATTATGTAAGTTGTTGATTCTATGAAAGAAGAATTTACGTAGAATTCTTCCACTATATTTCCACATTGAAAATGAAGCTTCTTTCCTTCTCCATTTAAAGTAGTAGCTCATTTTCACTCTTTTCTGTTAACTTTGATTGCATGCCAGTACTCAACTCTAAGCTGTCAAAAGTATATTTTCGGGGATACTGCTTTAAGGCTGCCAATAATTTAGCTTTCGGCAAAGGAAGAGTACTTTTTATGCATGGTGGTTTGTTGTTGTTACCTGGCATGTGGGAAACATACTCAGCTCAAAGAGATTTGATGGCTACCCAATTCTAGCTTTGCATAACGTCCAACCTTTTAACATGCTTGCATCACTCTGTCTAAATAAGAGAAGATCCATCTCTCATCATTCATCCTAGTTTTATTCTACTTGTTTAATCTAGCACTTAATTTATTTGGAATTTGTACTTAAATTAAAAGCGATTTAATAAAACTATAGAAAGATCAAATATACTTTTTGAAAAAAAAAATTAACAAGAGATTTATATATAATTAATAAATTTGTTAAGATAATACCTTGATTTTATGTTGAATTTTGTCAATGATATATTATTGATGTCTATAGTGTTATAATATATAACAAGTCTCGTTCATAGACCAAACTACTTATCTAGTATTATATTTTTTTTATAACAACAAATTTTGACATGTTTTATGTAATGAGATCATTCCCAAAGAGAAGAAAAAGAAGATGAAAAATGTTTTATATCCTTTTTGAACATAACATTTTTTGCCTGTAAAACATTTGATATTCATGGTAAGAAAAAACCTGAAAAACTTAAAAAATAAAATAAAACTTTTAAAGCTTGCGTAGTTAGACAAAAATTTGGTCACATAGAATCATTCCGTGATGGTTTAGTTGTGAAGTGGTAACGGATGTTCCAAAAGAGCGTGCATTTTTAATGTGTACAGGTCAACACAAAACATCACATCCATCCCTCATTTGGATGCTTCAATGCATTCTCTTCTTTTTGCAGACAAACCCATTGAATTCTGTCGTTTTTCCTTGTCATGCCCCCAAACGTGCAACGAATGCAAAAGTCTAAGATTTTACTATACAATTCCCAAAGGCTTCTACTTTTTAGTTTTTACACTGCCATGCCCCTTTTTTTTTTTTTTTATGTTTTACCTTTCATTATCATTATTTCAATTAAATTTAATTTTGAATTCACTCGTGCCTTTGGCTCTAATTTAAATCGTTATAGTCATTGCCAATTTTTTGTCAACAAATGTTGCTGAGTGAGTAGGTTGATTGTTAGCAATATTTATGAACAACAAGCCACAATTTAACAATGATTTATTCCTGAAACCAATATGAAAATGTATGTCCTACAAGAAAAATATTAAGCATACTTTTAATAACTTGACCATTTATATTGTTAATATGATATCATGCTATGAATAATATCAAGATTTTTAACAGTAGTGTAGGTGTAATAGTAAATAGCTTCCACTTTTACATACTAGTGTATGATTTTCACAGCTGGGTTGGGTTATTTAGTTCAAAGGAAATCTAGAAACAACCTACTGAATAAATCACAAACAAATCATGGAAATTAAAGAGGATTTATTGTAAGGTTTTGATCCGTTAAGTAACTCAAAATAGGCTCACTCCAAACCTCCAAGGGCGAGTGACCTTTTTGCAGAGCAACAGTCATCTTGCAAATACTAGTATGGAAAAAGGAAAAGTGAGGGAACAAAACCCCGATAGTCATTTAATCTTCACCAAGCAAAACCATAATTTAATGACCAGTCAAAACCACCATGTCGGCAACTAAATATCCTTTACTTATACTGAGTAGTAACTATATTGCAACATTTATTTTTCTTACGAACTAAAAGAGAAGAAAAACAAACATAATCTCCAATTCTAGGGCTTGGCCTACAATTTTGGCCTTTCTAAATTATTCTCTCTAAAGGATCCCATTAACCATAAGATGAACTTGGTGGCCCTTAATTCCTAATTCCTAGTCAAAGATCGATTAATAAACCATGGCATGGATGAAATGATTAATATAACAATTATAGTAATCTTCTTGGTTTCTCTTTTGAGACTATATCTTTTTGGCAAAAAACTAGTAGCTCTTCATTGATAGAAGCTCTGCGTAGCTAGAAAATGCCAGCTGTATTGTAAAATTTGCAAAGCTTCTGTATGATTAATAATCAAATTAATTACAAGAAAAAATATGAAATGGTAAGGTCTTTGGAGAGGTTTGAGGCATGAAACTGAGTGGCAAAATCTTAAAGGAAAATGGAACTTTTTGCTGAAAAATGGGTTTGGCCATACAACAACAAATTCCCTTGCAAGGCTGCACATTGATTTTATATTTTGGATATCAGAATTGATGTCATATTTGCAACTATTTCAAATTTTATAATGCTCCATAGAATATTTCAAAACACTCTCTTTTCCCCGTCATTTGTCAACAAGAGAAACAAAATTCACTTACATCAGTTAATTTACAAAAATTTTACTAATAATATAGCAAGAGTCATATGCTTGGTCAAACAATGACAGCTATTAGGAAGATGAGTTGGAAATTTTTTATAGGTGTAGAAAATACCAAGATTTAAGTAAAGAATTAAATTACCTGATAACTAATTTGTTTAATTGCTTGATGAAAATAAAAGACTACATAGGGGTTATTTATAACAACCAACTAGACTTAAACCTACTTGGTGTGTAACTAAAATGAATAGCAAATAAGAAAATATTCTAACCCTAAACTTCCTTGGAGTACAAATAAAAAAAAATAAAGATAAGATTATATAAGGAAATATTCTTTCCAAGACATTCTCTCTTTGATTTGAGGATACTTATATAATTTGTTACAACCTCCCTTAAGTAGAAGTGGATGATAAGTTCAGACTCTACTGAGCTTGCGATCGATATTGTGGGTATTCACCTTGTGCCTTTCTCAACTTAGTGGAGAGTGAACCTTAACAAACTTGACAATGGGAGCTCATTATTTGTCTCCATCAAGATTGCAATCAGTTAATCAAATTAAGTTTGAGTTAATCCTATTGGATTTAGATCAATTTGCTGTTGATTTGCTTGTTGTTGGGAATGTATGTATTTTTTCCTCTTCTACCAATTTGGTGGATATCCTACAATCTCAAAATAATTTTCTTTTATATGACTTGTCTTCTTACAATTTTCAACATATACTTTGAATGCTACTACCTCCACAATTGGCCTTGCCATCGCCACCTCTTGTGAACTCAATAGAGAATAAGCAGTTGTTAAAGTTGGTAATGGATCTCTGTAGAGAATATTCGATCTTATAACAATATAGGAATCATTCAATCCCATTAAAAACTGATGC